GCTCATCTTGCCTGACGGACGTACATGTGGCGATCCGGGTCGCGAAGGTCACTTTGCTTATCAAGTTACTTAATATAAATGAAAAACAGGCTTAGGATTGGTGACGGGCAGCGTATTTAATATTAACTAGAGAGTATTAGAGGACCCTTAGAGTGTATTTTATTTCAAATCAAACATGATGGAGGCTAAATTTAGAACTGACAAGCTTCAAAATGGAAATTGCGACACCGCAGATAACTTCGTTTCACCGAACACCGCAGACTTTAAGACGCAAACATCGCACACCGTGAGGTTTAAGAACATTAACACCGCAACACCGCAAGCTGAGATTTTATTCACCGCAACACCGCATGAAAAAATGCCCAACACCGCAACACCGCAAATCCCCAATGTCTCCCTCCATGAACAAATCCAGCTAGCGGTCAGAGCGGAACTCAAACTCAGGGCCTCCGAACTGCAAGGCCAACTCTCTAACCGCTCGGCCACGAAGCCGATAGCATCTTCAAATTTGGTCGGTGCCAGTTAGTTAAGATAAGTGGTGATTAGAGCCGACCAGAAAATGATTAATATACAGAATGAATATGAAATATTATCAATCATTAAAGTTTCGCAGAACCAAGCAAAAGAGAAGACAAATAACAAAAATTAGTTGAACCCATAAGCAAACAAGTACTTATAACGAGGAAATACCTTACCTTAGTGGAAAACGTAACAAGAACTTATATATTGTTTCTTGGTACACTAGACCTGAACCCATGCCTGAAAGTGCATTGCCCTAGATTTGGAGTCTGTAGGACCTACAGTGCACATGACGCTCGGTGTGAGTGTGATGACCAATGCCCCTCATATCAAGATCCCGTATGCACTGCAAATGGAACAACATACGACAACCAATGCTGGCATAAGTTAAGCTATTGCAGAGGACTTGAAAATAATCTCGTCTATCACCCAGGAAGCTGTGAAGGTAATATGCCATGTCGGGGGCGGTATAAAGTTTAACTCTTTCCTGTCTTTCAGTCCAGCACTGGTCGCCATAGTTGTTTTTGCCTCCTGTGCAACGCTCGTAAACGGCCTTATATCACAACGAGCTGGAATACTATTGACCGGCAATATACAGAGCGGGGGCACCTGTGGTGTCAACTATTACTAGTGTACTGGAAATTTTATCCCGGGATGCAATGTTAGGAATCTATCCTTTTTTAGCTTATTTTCCCTCTTTTTGATCGCATTCACGTAGTTCTTTACTTGCAATTAAAACTATTTAAAAAATAATGGTTTAGAATATTCCCCAATTCTCAGATAACTTTTACAGTGATTATCTATTGTCTTTATTTCTGCCCTCTACAGTGTAGTGCATTTTTAATTTGTCCTTTGTCTTTTACGATCAAGTTCAAAGTTAATTTGTAGAAAGTTGAGCCAGTTATTTTAGATGAAGAAGCTTTAATAACACCTTCTGTGGATCAACAAACGGACATGATATTTTCAATCTATAAATTTGATTAGTACTTTTCTCGCTGTTATTGTAAGAATTCCGTCTAGGAGCCAGTTCGTTGTACTTTTTATATAGCACTTCTTGATGTATAAGGGCTGGACCATCCAAGCTTGAAGGTGAAATTTAAGAAAGAAAATCGTTTTCTTAATAACTCAAAGGTTCTAGGCCATCCCAGTCATTATCAAAACTGGAGGTGCCATAACGTTTTTAGAAAGTGGATTGTAGCAAACCTGCAGTAAAATTCGTAATTAAAACAAAAACAATAAAATTAAAACAATTTTAAAGAAATAAGTCATCATGTATCTCATTTGTTAAAAAAAAAAACAACAACAACAGCAACAACCTGACCTGCCCATTCCTTCCCAAAAAGCCCTTTCTAGAAATTTTCACTGAGCACGCCGGATGGTTTGTTGGCTAATATAAAAAATGGGTATATAGCACTGAAATTAGAGAGAATTACAATAATACAAGTGAGAGAAAAGTAGAGTCAGCTCCAGGGGAATAAAGAAAAACAGAGTCAGTAAAATTTGAGCAGTTATCTTTTCCTTAAGAGCTTGCTAGTCCCCAACAAAAAGCCATTCAACGAAAATAACACAAAAAATTATTTTCTAACAGGTTTCCCAATTCTTCGGGGTCGTGTAGATCTTCTTGACGTTCCAGAATGGTCAGATTCTAACTGTCAGACTGTTGCGTTCCCTCCATACCGGTTTTATCCGGATAAACAAGTTCATGTCCAAATAACCGTCAATCACATGAAGCTGAATGACTCTGTGACAGTCCACGACGCTGTTACTTCATGGATAGAAAGTATCAGCACAAAAAATTTCACAGTCTGCGTCATGCAATCGGGGAGAAAAGAAGAAAGCGCTAATCCATTTGCCACTATTGACTGGATGGCTTATCAAGGAGCACTAACCGAAGGATTGACGGGTACGGTTCAGTTGCAGAAATGGTGGTCTGGGACTAAATGCGCAGATGTAACGTTTCCTAAGGTGAGGACTGGAAAGTTTCTTTATTCAGCAAATTGACTCTATAATACAGGTCTGGTCTAAAAACTGAGTATGTAATTTTGCGCAGGCCTGTTCTAAACAGGGTATACAAAGAGAAATGTAGCCGTCCCCGTGCACTAGCTCGATTGGTTATGTTTGTGGTTACAGTTGCCATAGAAACTGTAATCATCCAGCTATCGTTTTGGTATGTAAATACGTAATCTTGGGGCCAGTTCGCACACAGGAGAGTTTATCGGTCTTTAGTTGTTGTGTGCATATTATATCAGTTTTTATAAATAATGCTACCTTTACTTTTTGCTCTTGTATTTTTGTAGTTACGGTTCCCATATAATCTTTAATCACGATGTTATTAATTGAATTATCACATGGCGTAGCTTTGGGCGTCAGAAAAAATGACAGATATCATCGCAAGCGTACAGCAGGCATAAAACTTGAAACCATACGCACTGACTCTTGGGCAATTTTTGGAAAATTGAGGTGATCAAAAGGAATCAAAAAAGCTTATTATTTGCTGCTTTACTAACGGATAATAACGTTTAAGTAAGGTATTAAGAGGCTATCCATGAGAAAACCATGCAAAAGGTGCCACAGTGCACATCACAGAATTGGCTCAAACTTTCCATATAGGCATAACTTGGTGAAGTATAGGTAGATATGGTATTAGTTTTGTTCAAGCTTCTTTCTTTTCTTTTTTTTCAGGGGGGGGTACCCTTGAACAGCCAAATCTACACTGAAATATGTGCAAATTTTGTGATTTTTTGAATGACAATATTTCTGGCAAATTGTTCAGCAATCCAGGTGAAACAAAATTCTCACAAACTACTAAGTATACACTCTTAAACGATGACAACATAATCAGTGTGACCCTTCTTTATTAAATTTTCCATAGCATTATTTAACATGATATATGTTAATGAGAAAAATTATGCAAATTTCTTGAGTTTTCAAAAAAAAATAAAAAAGTTCTGGCAGAGCTTTAAGTAAAGTGAAATACTTGATGATTTACGCAGAGGTATTGTCTTTTGCTCTGGTATATAAAACTTCTGGGTATTGCAATAGTTTAAGAGAAATACCGAGGTTTTACTGGTCACCATTTGCAAACTGATCGTTTTACTGACTTACGATAATGCTACAATTCATGAGGATTGGTTACATTTCCCCAGTGCTTTTGAATGAAGTTGCAAGAAAAACTTCCTAATAGGAGATTCTAACCTTCTCTTTACATTCTTATGTTTCCACGAGATTATATCTGCCATAAGACTGTCCAAAAGTGCACATTCCATTAACGTTCAGAAGGACTGAGTGGTGCGATAAAACACAGCCTGCGACTTATTTCTCAGATTTGGTGCTGTTGAAAAGGCCAATACTCTAATGCCCATTTTGATATTTAAATTGACAACGATTATCATTTTCTGGACATAAAGATTACGACAGAAGGGCCACATCAACCACAGCTCTTTCTTCCGCCATATTGCTTATGCGCCTGCAATGAAAAACTGACCTGCGGTAATAAAGGCCATTGTGTAATCAACGGGAAGTGTTCTTTTTGCTTGGTGCTTTAGAAAATGGGTTGCTTTGATGCCATTTACAAATTTCGTACTTTTGCTTTGTCTGGCAAAGGGTAAGCTCTTTTTAAAATTTATTTTATAGCCTTATAAGGTGATATAATGAGCTGTACGTTGTATACAATGTATAAGAGCCAACACATCTTCCAATATCACATAACTTAGAAAGAAATAGATCCCGGTTGTTCAAACGTTGGATAGCGCTATCGCACCGGATAAAAATCTATCCAGTGGATAACGCAATTGGTTTCCCTAGTACTTATCTGCTGGATGGTGATTTATCTGGTGGATAGTACTTACCAACGTTTGAACAACCGGGGCCTGAAAATTGGTTGCAGAGCCCCATGTGCGGAGATGGGACAAATTTTTAGTTTACAACAAAAAGTTTTCATTAATAAAAAAATGTGTTGTCATTCATATGAAGTGCACCTAGAGAGCACGCGTTCTCTAGTAACGGGCATTGGTAACAGGTATGTCCTATCTAGCTGCTTATCGGCTCTGCCCCATCTTTTTCTCAACGGTTTTTAAGCTCCTTCTATAAGTCCACAACGTGAAAAACTTTCTCTCGCATGGACTCTCGTTGTCCTCTCTCAACAAGGGCATCGAGCATATCTTCTTCCTCTATTACAGTCTTCTTGTTTAAAGAAAGCTTTCCACTCTTAGCGACCGATGCGAGACGTGAAAAGTATGATGTAACTTGTTGAGCGCTGAGCCAGTCTTTAGAAGAAAACAATTTTACGCCATCTGGTCCACGAAGTGACTTCAAGTTTGAGGCAACAACGGCAGGGTCGCTCTTATTTCCTGTCTCTTCTCCATCAAGAAACAGTTTAAGGAGGTACTCTTTGACATGTTCTGAAAATCGCCCGGTCTTCTTGTTTTTCTTCAAGGCCCAGCCAGGCTCAGCAGTGGGGTACTCTCTGCACTCTTCTTGGCTCAATCCTTCAAGGTTCTTTTTAGATGGAATATATGAAGGGCGTAGGTTGGTGCATGCGTTAGCCCATTTACGCTTAATACTGTCATGCGTGGAATCCTTTTGGGTGCAAAAAATGTGCTTGCCAAAGTCCTGGTGATTTGGCAACGCTGTTGTCGTTTTGAATAACTTGATGCAGCCTGGTTGAGGGCAACTGAATTCACAAGGTTCACTTTTGTTTTCTGTCGTTTTGCTATTTTTGTACAAGAAGCCAGTCGACACACGCGAGGATGTGAAGGGCTCAATGACCTCCAGTCGGGTACTTCCCTGGCTGGTGCCTCTCTTCATTAGCTTATCGTAACGAACGAACTTTCCTTCTCCAACATTAAAGGCTTTCCACATCCTGATTCCGTCTGCGCAAAACTTGAAGTTTGAATACATGAGTACTCCGTTCCAGTTGTGATTATGCAGATCCTGTGCGCAAGTGTCCACCTTTACAACTTATGCACGGCAACCTCTAACTCCGGAGTAAGAATCTATGCAGTGATCCAGCAGATGAACGTATGTCCTTACCTATACATATGAACATAAGAAATAATGTTACACTATCGGCTTCCTGCACTGCATAGCTAAAGATTTCAAGGGATTATTTTCTCAGTAGAATGTGCAAATAAAGTAATCAGTGTAACCTTTTAACCTGTTACGCGGACACCGACCTACCTCCACTGTCAATACCTAATTTATACATTGCCTTTACCGCATTTTGTACAGCAAGTGAATGTGTATAACTCTACTGTTACTCAGGGAATAAGTAGGAAACTCAGCATTTCTTCTATTTAGGACACAAATTCGACTACTACAATATCTGAAACTGAAATGGTAATTTAAGGAATATACCGTCAAACCTCCTGTAAACGGTGGCTCACGAGAATCAACACAGTGTCAACAAACAGAAGAGATCCCTACAGGTGTCCTTTTAAAAGATAAAATTTCGGCATGCAATTCCTACGTTTCGTATAAGTGTAGTTCCATGTTGTCAAAAAAGGATTTGCGCATAATCCGACTGAGCGGCGTAGTACATACAGAGACAGACAAAGCATCATGCACCGTTTTGGATATGTCCATAGTCAGATGTAGGATATGCCTGTAGAAAATACCTCAAACTCTTCCTTCGGTTTATCACGGCTGTGACATGCCAAGAGAGGCCTTTCTTTCCAAACCACTCTCCTTGCGTTTCCCTATACTTCAACGGAAGGAATTTCATAGCCCAATCCATGATAATTAAAGCTTGCTCTGGCGTCATATTGTTGAGGATATCATCCTTTGCTACGTCCTGGTGTACTGCTCTTAAGATGTGGGCCTTCCATCGCTCAATCTTGTCTATAGCGTTACTAATGTCATGCTCTAGTTCCCCCTTTTCGTCTTGATATCTAAAAATCAAAATAAAAACGTTGATGGTTTCCTTGTTATCAAAGGTGTAATTATAATTTCTTGACGTTTTAGGGCGACATCATTTGCTTGTCTTTGCACGGTATATTTTTCCTGATCCTTTGTTTAATGAAGTAAACGCGGCATTGTTTCCGAAGTTAAACGACTGTAGATTTCAGTCACCTGAGCCACCCATTTCCAATTGCAAAAAGGGTGATTAAGATATGACAAATAGAAAACTTACTCTTCATGATCAGGTAAAATTACAATATATATCTTCTCGTAATATCCTGTGAAGAATTTCTTTTGCATGTGTAAAATGAAACGATCAACAATAAACTGAACAATATAAAATCTGTTAGGGGAGAAATCGGTCTTCTTTCTTTGGTTTTGACTGCAAGAACGTTTAGGTTTTTGGCTTTGAAAGAAGAAGACTATAGAACATGGTATCAGTTATCGTTTACCTGAAGTGAAGGTCTCTTGATGACAATACCAGTTCTATTTCCTCAAGAACATTCTTGATATTGTCGCAGCTTTGACATGATTTCGTGTGTTCATGCTCACAGAGATGATCTTCAGGGTCAGACAACGCAAATACCCGGCAATGATCAGCACACTGGCTTTCTTCAGAAACGCGGATCTTGAAGTTTGTCTTAAGGTAGCTTTTACCAGCTTTCAAGCGATCTTTAACACCTTGAACCCAGGCTGAACTTTTACCTTTAAAAAGGCACGCTAATGTTACCACTCTTTTTTTTAATTACTACTATTTAAGATAAAGCCGCTCATATGCTAAATTGCGTTAAGAGGCCAGGCCTTTGTTCAAATTGCACAGTATAAAATATATGCTTTTTACAAAAATGGTTTCGACAAACCTTAAAGAAGAAATAAGAAGTTTAAAAATTAAATTGGCCTAGGAGGTTGGGTGGTTTGAGTGTTAAAGGTGCACTGAAAAATAGCATTATATAGAAACAAAATGGGAAGATTCAGGTCACCCTGGGACAAAACTTAAATCAACCTGAGCTTACCTAACTTTCCTAGCCTGTTTACAACGTCTTCAAGTGTATCGAAGGCTTGCGATCCCTCTGCAGCGATGTTGTCAAGTCCTGCCAAAGACTTCTTTTGTGATGCTGCACAAATCTATACAATAATGACATTTTGTTATATTTTTCTCCTCGTGTTCATACTTACTGCTTTTCTCATCCAGAGCGTTTGCTCTTTTCTAATCCCCACCTATATGCATGGCTTAAGGAATTTTCAGTTAATCAAGCTGAAGAAGTAGTTTAAACTAAGAAACATGACACAATGCATATAATGATATCTTCGTGATATCTACATGAGATAACAGAATATATAAAACCCCAATTTTTATTTCTTTTTTCGCTCTTCTTCTGATTTTGAATCATGATTTTGTTTTGATACGTACCTGTAAAATACTGAAGAGGGTTGACCTCCCATGTGAAAGGAAACCGGTTTCCTGACAGTACTGCTGGTATAAGTCCACAATCCTTGAAGCAATAACTGTCCTAACCACGTTTGGAATCTCCATCTTCTCCCCATTCGACAATTTTAGCGTTTTTGTTCCGTACGCAACATCTTGCACGAAATTTGGTCTGCTGATAAAATCTAGAAAATGGTCTACTTTGCTTGGATCCAGTCTTGCGCGTGTAATGGCTTCCATCTGTGGCACTGGTTTACCCACCCCCACCTTAGCGGCATGCCTTCTTGCCTCATCTATCGCCCAAATGCTTACTCCAGGAATAAGCAGCTGAAGTTGTGCTTTAGAGTAATCGTTTACAAATACTGACAGGATTTGCCTTTTAGTAAACCAACTGTTGGCCTCTTCGTACAATTTAATCAGGCGCGATATTTCGCTAACATCAGTATCTACACTATTTTGCTTCTCTTTTTTCTCCATATGTTTCATCAACTCTGAAAGTAATTCTATGGCTTGCCCTGGAGCAAGGCAATCCAGAGCCACTTCAATGATCTCTTTCCCCTTCTGTCTGTAATATCTCTGTGTGCTTGGTGCAGCTTCCTTCCAAGGTATACTCAACTGACGAACCACTGGATCTATCCTACCACGAGCACAAGGAGCTGAGCGGATAAACTCATTCACCGCTTTCAGTCCCGATTTCACACATGGAGTAGAACACCATTCATATGAAATGTCTTCTTCTGGCAATGACTCATCTAGAGGACTACCAATGCTCACTTCATGTTCATTACATTGAGCTTAGAAAAATAAAGAGCAATGCAGATTATTAATATCTGTAAACTAATCTGTCGTTTATGTTAAGTGTTAAATCAATGCATGAGTAAAAATAAACATACCGGACACTCATCCACAAGACGATTTTCTCTAACGTTTATGAAGTCGCCTAATTCAGTGGTAGGGTTTGAATCCAAAGGAGCCGCCTGTTCCTGAAGACGTAATTAAATGATAATAAGAGTTAATGTTTATTTTCATTCAGTCATTTACATTACTGCTAGAGGAACTTCGAAATAAACTCCATTTGAAAATAGAAGAAAAAGAATAGAAGGAAAAAAGGGGGAAAAAATAAATGATTTCAAGAGAGGTATTCGAAAATTCATTGAAATAAGGAAAATATTATCCATGGTAGATGACTGTAAATGTGCGTGGAGAATTTTAAACCGTAATTTAGTTTTTATAAAAGGATCAGCAATATCCAAATACCGTTCAACGGATTGTAGGGGAAGCGTCCTTGAAAGCCGGAAACTTACCACATGGTTTTTAAGATCGCCATAAGGAGGATTCTCAACATCGCCTGTGTGTTCGGATGTCACCTGGTAAATGTAAAATATTACAAATAGGGACTTATTGAATGAAGTTCAAACGAAGGAAAGGAATTAAGGAATGAACTAACGAACGAACGGACGAACGCACATACAGGAGAATGAATGCTTCGGCCATGAAGTGGATGATGACATTTTGCAACTGGTCTACTTGAATTCCAGATTGTACCAAAAATATCTCTGTGCAGGGGACAGATTGTGAGCGTCTCACCATCTTCATCAAATAACCCAGCTCTCAAAAGAATCAGCTGCCATTCACCTTTGATGTTTGCTTGAGATGTTTTCAACCGTTGAAGGTGACTGGTTATATCTCTCCTGCAACTACGGAGTGGCACGTACTCTTTGATGTTACGATAGTGCTTCGAATTGCCACATGGTATCGACGAGTGTTTCGAAAACGAGCCAGTTAGACTTGCAGCCATAGAAGAAAATGTTAAGCCAGAATACGACCCTGTCTTCTACAACATAGGTTTAACAACTTCGTATATGAATTCAAATGATTTTACAGCTGTACTGAACGTTCGCGCTTTCCCGAACTCCCGCCAAAGCAATCTATACAGGGGAAAACCGCAGACCGCTTGGTTCACGGGCTCGAAACAAAGATGGTGGTAAACAAATGCACACATGTTTGTAAGACGTAGTTTTTATCGCATTATAAGACGTATGAAGACGTTCGAAAAAGATATTTTCCATCCTTCAAGCAAAAGAAATAGCTTTTTGGGAATGAAAGTTACTTTTGATTGTTCTACGAGCGGGAAAATATTCACGAGACAGGTTATGGCTGTTCTCCCGCTACACGCCAAAGCCGAAGTAACGTCATTTCGTCGAAAAAAAGAGGATTTACTGGGATCACAGGGGGAAAATTATTCCCTTTAGCCTTTCTCAGTCACAGAGGTATGTTTATGAAGTCCCATGTTGTGTTTTTGAGCGACCAATTATGAATCCTGTTCCGTATAATTTTTGGCTATTTTTAATAAAACGATTGTGTTGGCTCATAGTTTGTCATAGTTCCGAGGCTGACGTGTCCATAATTTCACAATACCCAGATTTTTGAAAGCGTACAACAAAAATCCAACTTATTCTCTTAACATAACCCATATTAGATTTATTGTAAGGTTTGCGAGAATTTTTAGAAATAATTTCAAAAGTGCAATATTTTTCTAGCTTCTAGAAAAGCGTGCAACTACCCTCCGGTTAGTACACGGTCACGAGAAGTAAGAAGTCTCAATCTTTCTGGTTTATACGTCTAGTCGAAGTTAAATCATTCAGTTCGACCGCCGACTACTCATTTTTCACTCACGTCGTAAATTATTGGTGATCAAAGCATCTAAACTTCGGGAAATTTCGGCCTTGTATAACAGTAAAAATGGTCTCCCGAGGGGACCCCCCTTCGTATACACAAAGGAAAGGCGCTTGGACCCCAATCATAGTATATTTGAAAATAGTACACCCAAGTATACTTACTCACAGAATATAAGCCAATTCTGTGATCTAGCCTGTAGCACCTTCTGCATGGTTTTGCATGGTTTTCTCGTGGACAGCCTCTTAAATCAGTTTCTTCTTGAAACATTAATAATTTAAAAGTAAAACAAATTACCTTTTATTGCTCTGATTGCTTTCAACCGACTGTGTTTTGACTTTTTTTACCGTTTCTGCAGGACAAGTTTCCTAAGGCGCCAGTGGTCCTTGTGACATCAGAGCACCAGAAGACTGGTAAAGAGTATGATGCTGCTCTCATCTGGACTGAAGATGTAACTAAGGACTCATTAAAAGTCTGTCTTCGTGAAATGCAAAACTTTGACGGTAGACATGAGGATATCAGTGTGGTATGTACTTACTGTGAGGACACAGGGTCCAGAGGAGATGTGTTTGTCGTTAGAACATCAAAACCCGTCGAAAACCTCTGAAAAAATGGGTTATTTTGATCGCGTTACGGTTTAGTTACACATTCTATAGACCGCAAACCAAGAGACTGAGGGCTCGCAAGATCGGCTTACAGTATAAAATACGGAAAGGGAGGAAACAAATTTGGGGCCGATTTTCGAATCCCTGAAACTCAAATGGAATTGAATGAAATCGCCTGATTTTTCTAACCTGATCTAGAATTCTTATGTATTTGCCAAATACTGTAGGAAAACGGTATAAATAAGCGTTCAAATTTATTTTCGGCGACCGAAATTTACGGCTTCGAGATAGCCCTTTCGTTCGCTGTGCACCGCAACAGATGGTGACAGAAATGACGTAGTGAAGTAAATGTGCTCAAGATCGGAGCAATAAAAGGAAATGGTAAGCCTACGCGACTTTTACCTCATGCCAAAATGCTGCTCGTTCCAATAAAGTTTTTTTTCTCTCCTGGGTAGATTATCCTCCGGAACGTTCTACATAGTAATTTTCACTGAGCAAATGTGATTTTAGCCGCATGTTTCACACTGAGAGGTCATGACATACATATCGATTTACTGTGGTTATTGTTTCTGGTCGGCAGGATTTGCCCTCTGATGCAAGCGCATTTTCTTTGACCTCTTTTGAAGCGTGAAGCTTTTTATTACGGCTGAATAAGGGTTCCAATTTTCTCCAAAGTGCCTTCTGGATCTGAATAACTAAGCGATTTTCTTTAGTCCGTGAAGGTAATGTTTTTCTGCAATGTTGTATCACGCTGGGCCCAGCCTGTTAGTTTTGTTTGGAGAATGTTAAATTATTACGGGTAGTGAGTTACAGGTCGTGTGTAATCTTGCAATAAAACGTGACACTGAGTAGAGCGGACGTACAAGGCAACTGTAATATCATCACGACTGCGCCATTCTTCGGTGGTCCCAACAGTGTTACCTCTTGCGTCTTTGGCTGTGCGTTTTGCGACTACTGGGAAGCTTTTGCACAAGCGAAACCTGCTTAAGACATCGAAGACTTGACATGTACAACAAATGTCCAGTCTTGAAAGATCTTCACTTCAATTAAAACTCTGTTGCCTTCACATAGATCTCTGAGATCTTTAAAAATCCCTCCGCAGCTGATGTTTTGATTCTCGAGCTGCTACTGCGTTTCCGGTCTCATTCACTTCCGTCACCGGGAGTATGCGGTTCACAACGAACGAAGCCACGTGGTACAAGTTTCCTCCCTTGTCCTTTTTTTTACTCGGCACTTCGTGCCTCGGTCGCCCTTCGGGCGACGTTCCGTGCGCCAGCGAGGATATGGCTTGCGGTTATTAATTTTTAAAATGGCGAACAACAAAGTCGATCTGCTCAGATAAGAAGCGAAGAAATCGTTTACAGTAGGTTCATTAAGATCCCATTGGGCTAATTAATCGTGCATTTTGTCAAGGTGAGACTTAAAATAAGTAATTCATTTATTCACACGAAACTCCTCTGGACCCTGTGTGAGGACTGTGTTTGCCGCTGTTTAATAATAAACAAGACGCTACGAGCGTACGCTTCGGCGTCGTGGTTGTGGAACTGATTAATTGTAAATGCGGAGGAATAGTAAGAAATGAAATACGGTAAGAGTAAGGTGTTAATTTGTGAAATCATGGGATTCTGAAAAGAGCAACATCCAAGAGGCCTACTTGCCAAAAACTAGCACTTCGGGACAAATTGTCTCTGAGATATTAGCCCAGTTATGCTCTGATGACTCCATACAAATCCTTCTAAATTTGACTTGGGTCAAACGTTTAGACCTAAGTCAAGTATGAGGTTACTGGCGGTGAATAACAAGTCTAACAAAATAAACAGTGAAAAAAGAATTCTCTATTTTTCTTAGTCACATCAGGCTTCAAAAACAGCATAGCAGTCTCATGTACTGATTAAAGATATGTAAGGCATGGGTAAGGAGTCAATTACGTTGAGCATGGAATTGGCTGTTACGAGTTCGAATGTTTTCAGGATAATTAGTCACTGACTATCAGCACGCAGGAATGTCGGATTAACACAAGGAAGTTTAATACCAAAGGAACATAGCCTTTTCAGAGCTTTAAAACACAGCATCCGCCAACACAAACTTGACTTGAACTTAAATACAACTAAACAGCCTCTACCAATAATAACAAACTCTCACTTGAACTTCAGATATCTTACGGCTTCCGCCAACTTGTAAACACAGAACTTGAAAATCGGCCTTCGTCACACTTGACTAAACACAGAAGTCCAGCTCGTGGGAAAAAAACTTAGTTCGTCAAAAGACCTCGCTTGAAACTTGTATACCGTTTGACATAAGGTTCTAGAAAATACTTAAGGGCGAATAGTAGTAGCTTTTCGACATATTTTATGATTTCCGTAACTGATGCAAATCTGCTGACTCATGCTGAAATGTAAACATGCCCTAATTAATTATTCATGAATAATCCAAAAAAGTAGAGAACGTTCGAGAAAGTCACGCAACGCATGAAAGCAATTTTACTACGTAACACTCAACAAAGACAAAATGTCTTTGTGCAGCATTTTGCAACTTTAAATTCATCATAAAGCAGTTCGAAAGGACGGCTCACTCGTGAAATGTTTTTCAACACTCGAAGAGAAATTTCATGTCTCTGCGTGGCCACGTAATATCCTCTATTTATTCTTCAAGTAAATTAAAGACAGAACTCGAAGTGATCTCAAGATATCACAAAGTAGTCCGGTTTCATTTCGTGAAATAGCCGAAAAGTCGCGAACTTACACGCCCAATCTTGTCCCGAAACAAGCGCATAATTTCATAACTATTTTTCATATCCCGAACTACCTTGGGTCGCAGTAGCGCAATCGGCTAATCCCTCAACTTAGAGTCTTCTCTGACCTGACGGGTCACACAGGTGAGTCGGTTCATACGGTGGCTCGTAGGGACAAGACACTTCCCAGAATCCAAAACACTTTGCAGAATCCAAAACACTTCCCAGAATCCAAAAACACGTCCCAGAATCCAAAACACTTCCTAGAATCCAAAACACTTCCCAGAATCCGAACATAGTCCCAGAATCCAAAAACACGTCCCAGAATCCAAAACACTTCCTAGAATCCAAAACACTTCCCAGAATCCGAACATAGTCCCAGAATCCAAAACACGTCCCAGAATCCAAAACACTTTCCAGAATCCAAAAACATTTCCCAGAATCCAAAACGCGTCCCAGAATCCAAAAACACGTCCCAGAATCCAAAAACACGTCCCAGAATCCAAAACACTTCCCAGAATCCAAAAACGCGTCCCAGAATCCAAAACACTTCCCAGAATCCAAAAACACATCCCAGAATCCGAAACACTTCTCAGAATCCAAAACACTTCCCAGAATCCAAAAACACGTCTCAGAATCCAAAACACTTCCCAGAATCCAAAAACACTTCCCAGAATCCAAAACATGTCCCAGAATCCGAACACACTTCCCAGAATCCAAGGCACGTCCCAGAATCTAAATACC